GTATTATTCAGTATTGTCCAAGCTGTTGTGCATAGATGGTGCCATATTAAGTAGAGCTTCACTGGTCCAATGACCTACATTGTTTTCTTTCTTACTTTTGGTTGAAAATTTGACAGTGAAGGATGTCAGACGGTCTGTGAGATTTTCATGTTGGTCCATGGTCTAGAAAGTTTGGAAGACCCTAGTTCATCCTCTATTACGAAGACTTGATATAAAATATTTTTCAAAACTTTGTCTTTCTTGGTGTCTCATCCACCTAAAAAAAAAAAAAAATAAATCTAGCAATGCTTTTCAGAATAAAGCTGTTGAATCTGTTCAAGGCATTATTTAAATAGTGTGGGAGAAAAAAGAGCAAGATGTCTAAAAGTTTATTTGGGAAGTCTAGGATGCTTAAAAATAAAGGAATTCCTGTTGCCACAGGAAGAGAAGTCTGAGTCCTATCATATGTCCCATTGTAACTGATACCTGTGTAGCAGTGTTGTGTTTTCTTTGCTGTTCCAAAAGGTCTGTATGGTTTTTCCCACCACGTGGTTATGATTTAGTGGTTTTATTCAGAAACACTTTGATTAGGATATAAAAAAAGCCACAAACAGAAGTAACCTTGTTTTGCTGTAAGTGAAGGACTGAAAACTGAAGGATCCAGAAATTAAAGTGACCACTCTGCGCGCTTGTTGCTTGAAGTGACATTTTCCGTCTTCTCCCAAAACAAATGCTTATCAATATACAGTAAAGAGCGTTCTGTTGCGCAGACAGTGACCTGTGTATCTTTTGCACGTGAAACAGCCTGGACGGGGGTGCAGGTTTACATGTTTCATTCTCTTGGAGGCTAATTGGGACTGGCATTAGGTTTTCTTTTTTATGAGACATCTTCAAGTAGCATCATCTTCATCATTCTTGATCCATTGTTTGAGTGTTACAGCACATTAAAAATATTGTGGAAATGGTTTGCTGTTTGTAAGTGGATTTAGAGTGCAGCTGTTTGTTTATTTATAGGCATATTTATCAGGGCCAGTGAGTCAAAATGTATTTGGTGTGGCAAGGTTGAGTGTTGTCACATGCAGATCCTTATGTAGAGCCGGTCTTAAGTGCTGGTTTGTCTGTGGGTATAAGTACATGAGCATTATGTACATTATCTTAATTGCTGGCGTATGCGCGACTGGCAGGAGGAACACACAACTGCCTTGTGGAAAGACAGGATGTAGTTACAGATCTTTCTGATCTGAAGCCTGCTATGAATGGCATCCTGTAAAGAGACACTTAATCTTGGGTTGAATCCTAAGCATATGGATAATGAAGCGATGTGAGGTTAAAAAGTCTGTCAAGTGACTGAAGAGATGTTGGGGTCTTTATTGAAATAACACCTGTGATTTCTGCCCTCTGTGCTGGGCTAAGAAATACTGTGAAGCACTTGTAAAGGAGCATAGCTCTATTTGTATTTGTCCAGTTAGAACCCAGTGTCTTCTGGCTGTTATATGTTACCAAATTTGACTTTATTCTAATTATGAGCTAAAGTGTGAGCAAATTTCATGCCACATAGTAAGGTCACTTCAAAGGAGAAAGCAGAAAAGAACTGTAATTCAGCATCAGTGCGATATGATGATAAATCCTGCTAATTATTAATTTTTTTGACTTCTGGATGATGACACAATATTCCATGTTTTGCACACGTTCACTTAAAGAAAAACCTGCTTGTCCCTACACTAGACAGACATAGGTGCTCAATTTCTGTCAGTAGTATTGACTGATCATATTCAATACAATAGAATAGTGCATTTTATTTTAGTCTGCACCAAAATAATAAACACACATGAAATTGTGGCATCTTGGATGTATCAGTGTTTTATGCAAGACTGGTAGATTTTTTTTTCCCATTTGCTCAGGTATGTGCTTAAGAATTGACATCAAAAAGGAGTGACTATAGGTGATTCTTCATTTTATTCAAGCTTTGGCTTCCCTGGCTTTGTGTATATAGAGGTGTTGAAGTGTTTCTAATCTGAGACATGTACTTAGCACAGTTCAATCATTGTAATAGTGAAATTGGTGTTATCAGTTTAAAGCTGCTCATATTGACATAGCAATGTCAGTGAATGAAAAGAAGGGAATAAATATTAATACAATGGTAAGGCATCTTTTATTCCTCAGTATAAACTCGTCCACAGCTGTGCTGGAGTTGCCAGGAGCTGACTGAGCCTCTGTGGAGAATACCAAAGTGCCTCTTGGTGCCTGACTGTAAGAGGGGCTGTTTCCCTGCCACTACCTGTCTTTCAGGGACTCCCCTAAGGCGGTGCTTTCACAGCCTGTGCGAACTGGCATAGATTCATGCCCATACCAAAAGTGGCCCAGCCCCATCCCATGTGCCAGTGCATCATCTCCTGTTGCTGCCAGTATGCTGCTAATTGATTACTGAGCTGAATTTGATTGTTTTCATCTCCCTCAGTTTCTTTCCTTCTCCTGGGTTGCTTCTCATCCAGATCCACCTCCCAGCCTGGGTCACTGAACCACCTCACGGACTCTTCTCCTGGCACAGAGGAGGAGATGGTGCATATGGCTGGTTTGGCAGGATGAAGAGGGCAGCAGGTTGGAGGGCTGGGGTGTGACTAAATGCATTTACTCTAATGGTTCTTGTACGTATTTTGTTGCCACATCTGGTATAATTTACTAAAACATAATTTTGCTTCAGACAGTAATTGCAATGTCAGCATTTTAGGAATAATACAGTGGTAAGGAAAAGTACTTCTACATAGTTGTTGATAAATGTTGTATTTTAAAGGCAGTGTCCAAACTATCTGTTCCTTGCAGTGATCTGAGGAACCAGTTTTAAGCTGAGGGGTGAGGGGAGGGGTGAAGAGGAAAAGGAAGAAGAGTTTCATGTCCTAAAATACTGCTGACATAGAAAATAACAGTTAAGTCTTCTAATGTGTAAGTACAGTGTATTCAAGTCCAAAGAGGGAAAATCTCTGTGGGGTGAAAGTTATTTCTCGTTTACTGAGGGATAGTGTCTTCAGTCAATAGAGAGAAAGAATAGCTACCTGTAGAGGGTAGTTCAGAGCGGGAATCTGTTTATCCTCTCCAGGCTCCTGTGTGAGGAAGCCTGTGTCTGTCCATTAACCACACAGTGAGCCTAAGACGGTTAACATCCCTAGGCTAATGGTGGCCTCTGTGAATACCCTCTGGATTTCAAAACCACATGCTGGATGACTGATCTGCCCTGCTGACAGTAAATTAGTTACAAGGTGGGTATCATCTTTTCCCAACCAGTGCAGAAATAATGCCAGTACGAAGAAAGGGGTTTAATCTTTTCGGTGAGCACTTGAATAAAGAATCTGTTATTTAAAAGTGTAATACCTAGTTTTGCCAAGCTGCTGCCTTTTGATTAGTAAAGGCATTTTTGTTAGACTGATGGATAATAGTTTTTTACATTATTTCTCTTTTTCCTTTTTTTTAGTTTTGTATTTTTCTGCAACACACCAAGGAGACTAACTTGAGAGTTGTTTTCTTGATCTGCCAGCCAAGTCTTCTTCTGACTAGCAATACAAAGTTGCTACTGATGGGTTTTTTTTTTCTTTATTCTCTCAGTCCATTTTGCTGCTAGTTTGTGTGCTATCTAAACTCAGACTCCTTCTGCCTGCATTGTGTCTGTATGAAACGTGCTAGAAGCTAGTCTTAATTGTGTTCAGCATTTGTAGGCTACCAGAGGTTCACTTGAACTTTTTTAAAGCATTTAATGCACTGAAGGCACCAAACTGCAATTAAAACAACTTCTGTGGGCATCGGTGTTAAGGTTACGCGCATTTCGTGGCATTTCCTGAGTAAGAGCTTGTTATGCTGGGAGGCTTAATGTGAAGAAAGTCTCAATACTTGTGTTTTTCCCTGTGTGTGTGCTTGGTTGACTATGGGAATGTGGAGGAGGAGAGGTAGGAAAGGGCACTAGAAACACTTTCACATTTAGGTCTCCCTGCCCTCCAGACTTACCGTTGTAGAGAAAACGACTCTGTTAAGGACTTCCAACAAAAATCCTCTTTGCAGTGTAAAACTGCTTGTCTTCCCAGGACACAGACCCTCCAGTGATTTGGCTTAGTGGGAGTGTTTTATTAGTCTCTCTGAGAGGATGTAGAATTGCTGATAAGTATCTGTCTGTGCTTGACTGTCCAGAGATGTATGGGGGGGATGTACAGGAAATTAGAAATCTTCAACTTGCAGCAGATGTGGTGGAGAGTGCCCTCTACATGAAGAGCAAGTCTGTCACATCCCAAATACAGTGGATCACCTGCCCTTTTTTAATTACTTTGTAATTAATCTGAAAAACCCAGGTGAAGCCCATGAATCCTTAAATGCACCATAGGCAAAATTCCTGTACACAGAAAGGTGCTGTGTGGGGGAAAAATGCAGAAAAATGGTGGTCCTTACATGAATAAACTATACCCAGGATATGAATCAAATATAAGCAGCTTAAGATCTTACTAAATTGCCAGGTGTTCTTTGTTTTGGTTTTTGTTGTTGTTGTTGTTTGTTTTTTTAAAGTTCATTTAATTACAGCTTTTTAAAGAAGTGTTGAGTTTCTTGGTATTTCTTTTAAGTCATTCAATTACTAAAGAATGTTGAAGCTGTGATAAATGCTATTGTGTGTTGTAGTTGTTGGGATATAATTTACATATACTGTGTAGTGTATTTTGTTCTGCATAATAACTTTCAAACTAACAAGATCAGAAAAAAAGATATGTTTCCTTTATAAATTAATATTTTCCTGTAGCTAACTGTATTATTGAAGAGATGGTACAGAAATAAAACAAATCTTATTGTATGACTATTTCTGTTCTTGTGATAATTTATCTATGTGTTTAGTGACCAGAATTAGTATAAAATCGAAGTCTTTACCTTTCTTCTTTATGGTACAGACTTAGCAGGTAAGATTCCCACTTAAATCAATAAAACTTCATTTTCTGTTTTCATTTAGAGAGTCACTGATGCAGAATGCTGGTGTTTTTCTGGTTTCGTTCTAGTTGTTCTCCAACATTAAAGATGGTGAAGGTTTACAGTTGTTTGAGCAAGGTCATCGCACTGCACACAAGCAAGAGTGTCACACCATGGAAGCAGTGAGGCTGGTGGAGTTCAACCTGAAGCAAGTGCTCACAAAACTCATGACTCACATCTTTGGTGATGGTAGGTTCTTGCTTTTTTTTTCCTGGGGTGCTGATGGCTGTAGGCATCCAGACTTTTGGGAAACATTTTGCTGCATAATAAAAACAGGAGGCTTAGGGGTGATGTTGACAGCTGGCATGCATGTGGTTTTTTTTCTAATAAGAGTTACAGTAATTTTTAGGAGTCTTTGTTCATATTCTTTGCTATTACATTTTTTGTCTTAAATTTGGTCAGAGTTCCATCTCAGTGTCATTTTTTTAATGTCAGAGTAACTGGCTATTGATTGACCTTTCAGCTATAATCTGTACTTTATGTTATTGATCTTTAATGCTGTTATATCCACGCCTTATAAAACAGAGCACAGCCCAAGAGCCAAACACACTCCTCTTGTTTTTTTCTAAATACTGGTGCACACAACATTGTGTTGTATCATCAGGTTTTTTTGAAGATGTTTTGGTATGCAGTGTGTCAGGGTAACATAGTGGGCATGAATACAGGTAGGGGCACATGCCAGACCCAACTACAGGCACTTGTCTGGCAGAATCCATGTGTCAGAGTAGACACAGTGTACCAGTCAGTGTGGGTCCTGCAATGAGAGAGAGCTCCAGCACAAAATTGTGTGTGACCTCCTCAGCTTCATCCTCCTGGGCCTCCCGTGTGCCCGGAGGGACAGGGCATGGCCGTGGCATCACATCTAGGGCTGCTGGGGAGCATGAGGGCCAGTGATCTGCCATCTTGCACCGGTAGCATGGAGCTTGACAGGAGAAGGGGTACGTATGTGCACGTGCTGCTTTGCTGCGTATGCACACAAAGGGCCTCGAGTGTTTCCCTTGCGCAAATAAATTAAACCTTGCAGCTGAAGGGAGACTAAGCTTTTAGGCATTTGCTAAGTTTGCACCAAGCTGAAAAATAATTGTTGTTCAGTACTTAGAGTGGAATGAGGAAGGGTAATGAATGTCTGTGTACATGAATGAAATATCCTCTCCTTGGAAATATCTGCTTTCAGTTTCAGGAGCTGAATTTATAAATGGTCTGAATCAAAATTGCTACGTTAATGCTATTTCCTGGCAAGGCGTCTGCTCTTCTGAACTGATTCATTTTTCTGTTGAGGAAATACTGGATAGTACTGGAATGCACAGGGTATGCTGTCTGCTTTCAGAGCTCTTTAAGGTGCCCACTGAATTCAGAGCGGTAGTTCCAAGAGTCGATTGATAATGGTTGCAAGTCCTATATATGACTGCTTGAATATTTGTCTGAAATTGTAAAGTTTAATGTACAGCAAGCAAAACTTTTACCAGTTTTTGTTTTATCCCACCTGGACAAAAATTTTTTTTTAAGTTCCCGAGTTAATTTTTTCTTGTGCTTGTATTTTACTTAACAGCAGCCTTTTGAAACATACAAAATTAGGATCAAAGTGACTAGATGTAAGAATTATATTTTTAGATCAAACTCAGATGCTGAGGGTGTTTAAAGTGAGCAGTTCCTAGGAGTTATTAGTGATATCTGAGACTGCAGTGACATCCTTCTCTAATTGTTGACAGATGCTGCACTTCAAGCTTTAGTTATGTTGGCTATTACAAGTCCTTCTACAGTCCATACAGTAGCTAGAAAGGCATTAAAAAAATATTCTTATATTGTAAACCCACAGACTAAAAGTTAGGTGCTGCCTTCTTAGTGTAGCAATTGTGAATGAAGTTCTCCCCTCTTCACTTTCTTGGTCTTCTTGTAAGCTGTCAGTACAAACAGGAAGGTAATATTCAAAGTAGTGAACTTCATGCTAGGCACTAGACATACAAGATGGGTGCAGTACAAGTGACCTTGGTGACACATAGTTAAAGTTGTCTTTTGAAAGCTGTTATATTTTCATTTTACTCTTCACATAACAGTTTGATTACTTTTGTGTCTCACATAGATTTTAAACTAAAATTTAAAATGTATTTTACTGAATTTATTGCTCTTGGAAAAATTCTGTATATTTTTTCTTCTCGCAGAAGTTCTGTAAGACCCTATGTTCTGTTAAAAGCAAAAATTTTATTTTATGCTTCACATTAGTTGTATTCTTTACAGCCTGTGCTGTTAGCAGAATATTGCAGTGAAGTTGCCCATCTCTTCTAGCAGGCTAGTGTGATCATAGATGCAGTAAGATACTGAAATGTTGCACTGTCCTACAGTCAGCTATTATTCACGGGCAGATTCTTTGTATTGCATATTAAGTCTACCATGAAGGCATAGGCATGTAATTTAGTTTTGCATAAATTAGTTTAGGCTTGAAGTCCTAGACTTGTATGGCTGGGCTTCTGCAGTGCTTCTCTGAATTCACCAACTCAGGGGGATGATACATTTAGGATGTCTGCAGGATCTTTGCAGGAAGGTCAGATCACTGACCTTTCTTTATTTTTTTTTTTTCCTTGTTGCATTTCAGATGCCTATTGCACTAGATTAGTTTACATAATATTTAATAGTAATAATTTGCACTAGATTAGTTTACATAATATTTAATAGTAATAATTTGCTTTACCTGACTATCTGAATGCTTTAGGGTTGACTGTACATGCCAGTAAACAATGTAACAAAAGTTGCTTAAAGATCACTGGGCTGTCATGAGGAAGGTCAAAGACTTCGTAAAACTCTGCACCTACATTTATTCCTGAGGTTTGTCTTTTTATTTCTTCCTGGCTTTGCCAACAGGCAAAGGAGTGAGGGATATTAAAGGCAACGAAGTATCTAGAGCATGCAATCAGTTGTCTTAAATAGTTGACAATATAAGATAATTCTTTGTAAGACACTTTCTAGTGCTATGCCATGTCTGATTTTGCATTCTGCAAGTGATGGTCTTTCGGTGTCTTTAATGAGATTTTGCTGTCAGGATGCTATTCCAAATATGCTGAGAGATCACCATTCTTAGTTTTCCTCTGTTACCTCCAGATACAGTGCACACTTAAAATCTACTGATTCAGCTTACACCTTCATCTTCACATGCAGATGTTAGTGTAGGAAGTCTGTTCTCTCTTGTTTTAGTTACATTGTAGTGAGGCTTTCCAAGCTTCGCTCTCTTAGGTGTCCTCATAAAGTTGGTCAGTCTTTCCCAACGCCAGTTATTTCTCTGACCCTTCTGTAGTTTGAGTCTGAAATAATCTTGCTATAGCAAATAGAAGAGAATGACTGTGTACTGGTTCTGTGATTTGTTACTTTACATTAAATGACCCAAAATTCACTGCTGTCCCATATGTATATACCCCATTCCTAGGCACCAGTAACAGAAGGCGGGAGGGTGAGTAATGCTGTGCTTTGATTGATGGTTCTGCTGCTGCTGGTTCTGACTGAGCAGCTACTGGATGTCTTTTAAATCAAACACATTGTTCTGCTCTTTCTTCTTCTTAACTCTGTTGTACTCATGTCTCCTTTGAGTGCATGGAGATCTATGAGTGTAAGGAGTTTAAAAAAAAATCATTTATTGGGGCCATAATGGTCTGGCTAATAATAATGTACTAACATAGTCTGCTGCAAGTGAATTAGCTGAAGCAATGAGGTGCAGAGTACTTAAAAATCGACACACTCCTCAAGTGGCCATGGCTCGATACCTTCTGTGCTCCCCAGCACCCCCCTTGTGTCCGTCTCCTTTTTCTCCCATAGACTCATTCTCTGAAAATAATCCTCACAGCAACAAAGAGAATTTCTGGTCAGTGAAGACCATCTGGGTCTCTGGCTTTGTTGCTTCTGTGCTTGTAGCATAGCAATAGGCTGCTTTAATGTGTTGTGGGGTTTTTTTCCTCTTTTCGTTATTTTTTAGTGCTTTTGCCTTTTTCATTATGAGACTCAATTAGGCTAGCACTAACAGATACTTGTTTAGTTTAGTACCTGATAGCACCATTACTTTTGAGTGCAGACCAATTCCTTACCTAGATTCAGGACTCAGAAATAACGATAACTATTCACTTTTTCCTTACTCATTGGAGACGTGGGGGACTCCTGTGAACACTGAGGCTGTGAAACGAGCAGGTATCCTCTGCTAATATAAATCATCTCTTTGAACTAGGGAAATTACTGAGCTAGTATCTAGTGATCAGTCTTCGGTTAGATTCAGCATTGTGCTTTTTTAAGTGCCTCTGTGTTTTAAGACAGATATGCATCTCTTGGCCTCCTAAAATTTCTAGAAAAGATAATTTTTGCCAGCATTTCATAGGCTGTATGTAAAGAAATAAATTAGGCCTAATCGGGTAAATTATATAGTACTACAGAAAGCCTAATCTTCATAATCCTTTTAAATCTTCAGTGGCTTAGTTTGCTGAGTGTGAACAATGCCCTTTATTCCTTGGGAATATATTGAGCACCAAGACAATATTTTGTATCTAAATAATAAATGTACCCATTTATTCAGTGACAGTCTGTAGAAATGCAGTTAGAAGGCTTAATCTTGATGAAGGCTGAGCACCCTCTGCTTTTTTCAGTAAAGAGTTCCAGAGCCACAAGTCTGAAAGAACACTTGAATGTAAACTACAAAGGTATTCCCAATTGTCCTGGCTACTGTATGAATAAAATTATTGTGGTATATGGGATTAATTATTAATTTAGAGAACAGAATGAAGGTGAGAGCTGTTTCTTCATTGTGGATTTGTTTTGTTATATTCAGTTTTTGTTTGCTTATTTGCATTTAAAACAAATGCCTCTTAAGGGCTAATATGCATTAAAATTCAAAATTAAAAAAGAGCTTTAAACTATTTTTTACCTTTTAAATTTTTTTTAAGAACAAAAAGCAGAGAAATCTTCATTTTGAGGTAGTCAGAAGATTAAAAAGAAACCATTATCTGAATGTTGTTACTTAACATGAAACTACTTGAATATTCAATGTCATTCTTCCTGCAGTTGCAAATTTTGCAAGCTAAATAAAGATATTTTATATGTGCATGGCTTTACAGTGAATGCAGAGTTGTACAGCCCTAGGACTAAAAATGCATTTGTACCAAGAGCAGGAAATTAAATGTTTTCCACACACCATACTGTTGTATACACGACTTTTTTCATCTATGTAATATTTTTAATTGTTATGCAAACAAAACGCAATAAAGTGATTGTTGTAAGTCACAATATGGTTATGAATGGTATAATTGCTATTTCTTCTAGTTCTCTGAGTTCTGTGTGTAAAATTATCAAAACACTTTTTTATCATTTATATAACTTACTGAGCTGGGTTATTTTCTTTTAAGAGAGAAAAGAACATCTAGAAGTACCAATGTGTGTATTTTGAAACCTGCCTCTCCCTGTAAAAGTTAATACCATCAAGAAAAGTTCCCCATAACTATTAGGTATTTTATGTTTTGGCTATGTATGTATGCTTTTGTTGTAATTTACTGTTTCGGTAATATAATGTTTCAGAAGTAATCAAAGACAATCTAATCCTCAAGGCTACAGAAAATGTTTTAATTAGAAAAACTCTCTGGATAAATCATGCAATTTCATGTTTTAAGGTCCATTTATAAAACAGCCCCCCAAAAAGCCTGAAAATCAAACCAGGGGTGTTAACAGTTACAGACATCCAAACAATCTTTGCTCTGCCCCTTATTTTCAAAACTGGACCTGCCTGGTTGTTAATGATCCTAATGCTGATTAGCATTTGGCTTAATTGGAGAGAAAGATGGGTTTGGAATTAAGGCATTAGCCCACGGAATTCACAGTTCAATTCTATTTTGAGTTTTTATGGTTCGTGTTTCCAAGACTTTTTTTTTTTCCCCTGGTGCCTAATGGCTAGAAAAAATTATTTAGCAAAACAAAGCTTATGTAAAAGATTACAAGAACTAAAACTCATCAAATATAATGAGGACCTTGACAACACCTCTGCTTTTGGCAGCCCTGTAGACCTTGCCCTCTTCTGGCTCCGCTGCTCTGAGCTGCCAGGGGTTTCCTCGCTCTGTGCAGTGGTGCTTCAGAGGTACAGGGGGGAGGGAGAGTTACCCAGTGGCACCTTTTACACTTCACATCCACACAAAGTTAAACTCTTGTCTCCTGAGTCCAGAGTACTCCGTGTGTGTTAGTATATAGGATACCTTAATGTGCAAGTCTGTATATATATTTTTTTATATTTTTGTGTATTAATACCTATTTTTAACTTTCGCATTTAAACATACACAGAAAAAATAGCTTTGTATTTTAAATAGGTTCTAATGAAAAAAAAGTACTTGCCTTGCTTATCCATATAATACTAGGTAAAAATTAAAGACTCAGCTGTTCTGTGAGGAGCAGTTAGTAATTTCCTGATGTAAAGAATAACAAAATTACTGACTTTCCTATGATCTTGGCTCATTTTTGTTCGATGCCAGGTGGTTGCTAGAGTTTGACAAATGATTGATTTGGTTTCAAAGGGTGCTTGAATTGCACGAAGCATTTTTCGTACTAGAAAAGACATGGTCATTTTTTTCCACAAGTTTTAAGATTTATCGCCTTGCACAAGTGTTGTAAATTAGTTTGTTGCTATTTGTTTTCTCTGGATTGCTGTAATTGGTGTCATTAGTTGAAGGGCAAGCTTTACAGATGATTGGAGGGGTGGCCTTTTAAGCATACTCACTTCATATTTTATTTTTTAAACACTGCTACAGGACTGCAAGTCAGATGGGTAGACTGCTACTTCCCATTTACTCACCCTTCCTTTGAGATGGAGATCTACTTCCAAGGAGAATGGATGGAGGTCCTGGGCTGCGGAGTCATGGAGCAACAGCTAGTTAACTCAGGTACTGAAACTCCTTTACTTCATTGACATCTCTATTAGCAAACACTTCCAGTGCAATCAGCTTCACAGTCTGAAAAGCCCCCTTCTCCCCTGCTGACCACAGACATCTCTGTTTGAGACAGCTGCCACAAATAGTCCTCAGGTAGATGCAGCCCTTGCATGCTGTGATTTGAGGGTAGCAATTCAGCAAGCAATCTGGAGCCTGCAACCAGAAAGCCCGACTTTTATTTTGTGCAGTAAGGAGGTAGACTGATGTCAGCCTTAAAAGAGAAGCTGATGAATTAAAGTGTGTGGTTTTTTTCTCTTCCAAGAGATGTCAAGTGCAATCATAGTTATGATTTAAAAGTATTATAAGCAAATATCATCCCCTAATATTTGGAATATCAGATTTCTCTTATATCTTTAAAGTATAGAAAGAGGAATGTGATATCTTTCATATTGCTATTTGGTCACTAGGTAGATGGTAGATTGCTTTTTTGTTTTGTTTTGTGTCTTTTCTCCTCAGGTTGGTTATTTATGAGGTGGTAAACTGCATTAAGAGCAACATCATTGATTTAATCGAAAATATTACAGAGCAATTTCACCTGATTATTTTTCTTTCTAAAACTTAGACATAAGTACAAAAGGAGAGGAGAAATTGGTGGTTTTTTTCTGTTTATTTTTATGTAGAGAATTTTACATGCTTGTTTTTTCATTATCTGAGAATAAGCAATTGTTTGTAAGCACAGGGCAGACGGCATGTGCTCAGAACTCTGTTGTTCAGTGTCTTCCAGTACTGTTTATTAGACATGGGAGCCTTTTGGAATATGATCTGTTTAATTCTCACAAGCGTACTTTCAGATAGCCAAGTTATACTCAGTTGATTTTTTTTTTTGCAGTTCTTTTCCTAAGATATTGTTGTATTTTCATGTGATCAAAATTCTTTCTGTTGAAGTCCGACAGCTGTGAATGGCTCAATTTTGGCCTCAGTTACTTGTCACTGCTTGTTTTCCTCAAGGTTTGCATGTATTTTAATGTGATCATTTTCCTTTTAAAAAGATAAATGCTCTTCCAGAGTTTCACCCCAATGGGTTAATGGTTTATGCTAAGATTCTTCCTCAGGTTATTATGTTCCGCGTGTGGTAAATATAACACAGCTTCTGATCAGCCTCAGAAGTAAAAGACTACTGTATAATATAATTTCCATCTGATGTAACACACCAGACTTTCTTCTTGAAAAGCTTTTATGTTGCACAATTCTTAATGCTTAGGTTCCTTTAATGTATGTGAGAAGAGGTAAACTGTGGCCTCAAAACGTTTACTAAATGTGTTTGTGCGCATGTATGTGAATGAATGTGCCTGAAACACCAATGGTTTCTACAGTGGTCAAGTTTTAAATTTACTCTGCCTCAGCTTTTTCTCACCTTTCTGAATTATGGTCTTGAAAATTATATCCTATCTGGACCAAAACTCTCCTAACCAGTCACTGTAATTCTAATCTCACAAGAACTCATGAATTCAGTAACTCAAGTCTAGCTTTTGAATGACGCTTAGATTTATATTATTAAAACAAACCAAAAAAAAAGATATTTCATTTATTAGCAAGATATTTTTAGAGGGTACAAACTCAGCTGTGGAAATGCCAATCATTTCTAACTTCATTTAGAGAGAACTGGACTTTATATAGCCACAGCTTTGTTTTTCTGCTCCCTCCAGTAGCTCTGCAAAAACCCTTGGCTATGAAAGCTAAGTATGTAATGTATCTCATTGTCATTTTATTGAAGCATTGGAATCTGTTTACCACAAGTGAAGAAAAAGTGTGGCTAATAATTATGTTGGCTAACAATTAGCCTATTTGGTTTAAAGTAACAATGAGGACAAAGCGGTTCACACTTCCAGTCAGGTAAAGAGTCAAACACCAGTCTTCCCTGCTTACTGTTGTGCAGAATATCCTTTTTAATCCTCTTCTGCAACAGTTGAAAATCCCAGTAGGTTCCTGGCATGCCAACTTGCATCTATTTAGGGTGATGCCAAATTTGCTATTACTAATCCATAGATTTTTTTTTTTGTTTTTTTGAGTGTGTTTTGGCAGCAAGCAGCTTTTACCAAAAATTGAAAATACACAAGTGCAGAAAGGAGATTCTCTGTGGAGAAGGATGAGGGTGAAAATTTTTTGTCCAACCTCCTTCATCTTTTTTTTTGCGAGCAGAACTCAAGTGCCTTCCAAAGCCATCCCACATGTGAACAGCAGTAGTTTTTTAATAGTTTATTTTATTTTACCTTTAAAGTATCCTTAATGCCTCCAGTATCCATAATCAATGGATATTACTCTGGTCCTATGCCCCTAAATGTCTTTGAAACACCAAAGTTTCAGTTTTAAAGCCTTCCATTTTAAACCAGTGCAGATCAGCAAGGACTAGGAACTTCATCAAACTTGGGAAGGAGGCCTGTGACTTCCCAATAGCTCTGTCCTTGTGCTTTTTGTTCCTAGTCCTGCCTGTTCATCTTTACAGGAGCCAGTGTTATTTTCAGTCAATGGATATTTCCAGGCAAAAGCAGTTGAGCTGAACTACTCAGAAAAACACTATGTTGTGGGTTTTGGTTTTTTTTTTGTTGTTGTTGTTGTTTTGTTAGGGGTTTTTTTAGCCCCACTATTTGTTCACTGATAACAACATTCCTTAACTACAGATCAGTATGCCATTGCCCAACCTGAAAGCATCTAACCTCAGAGCGCTGACTCACACCACAGACCTACACCTTCTGATGAGGGTGTAAACGCTGGTGCCTAAACCTAGATGCTCTGTCTCTTCTATGTCAGATGTCTGTAATGGGCACTGCAGACTTCCCATTCCTGTCTCAGTCCCCTGAAGGGCTCTGCCAGAAGAAAACTGAAGTAGGACTGAATGAAAAAGAGAAATGTTACTCATTTTTTGGCTGGCTAAGCTGGTGCTAAAGAAATATTTCACTCTTGGTGTGCCAGTTCACCAAGATCTTTTAGTGGTGTACTGCACAGCTTGCTCATTAGAAACTGAAGAAACTGATCAGTTTGCAGAAATTGTTTGGTGTTTTTTTTAAGCCTATAACCTTTCTTGCAGTTTAGGATTTTTGTGATATGGGTATTTTTTGCTTGATAATTACTATTAAAAATCTATCTCTGAAATGTAATGTTTGCTGACAGACATTCCTTTTCCTTCCATAAGACTGTTTTTTGAAGGGAAGAGGGCTTTTACCTTCAAAATCCTCAAGTCCTTTCATTTCGTGTGTTAGTCATTGAATATGAAAGACGGGGTTATGAGGCAATGAGGTTTATGAGAAACAGTTACTCAAAGCAGAAGTTGGATGTGCCTGATTATCTGTGGTGGTTAGAATTTAAACAGTCAAGATGCTTCAGCACAGAATTTTTTTTTTCATTTTTGTGTTGTTGAAAAAATATATATTCATCTATGAATACCTATGAAACATAACAAAGATGCAGAAGAACTGAAGTCTTGTGGAGGGATGAAAATACAAGGTCCATGACACAAGCAGCTGTTTCTTTATATTGGCAGAAGTTTCTCTTGGACTGGTAGGTCTTATAATGATGGCTCCCTGCCCAAAATAACCCTACTATATAGTTCCTTGGAGGTTAACCTCCTCATACAGTGAATTTTGAAGATATTGACAGATCATAGTAAGATTTTTTTAGTCTTAAGTGAAGAATTCTATTGTAGCTTTAATGCCCCATGCAATCAGCATAAAATGTTATTTTCTAAAAGACAATATTATTTTGATTTTTTTTTTTTTTTGTGCTGCCTTATGTTTTAGGAGGAGTCTTTCTTTGCTTTCAACAACTTTTAAATAGAAGGTGGTACAGATATTTAGTACATGTAAATAGAAATGCAATGGTTATACAGAAAAATTGTCAAATATGTTCAAACGTACTGATAGTACTCTTCATCACCTGCTTTCTTAGTCGGCTTGTTTTTTTTCCTTTTGAGGTTTGTGAAGAGTCTCTGTGGCCCTCCTTTTTTTTTCTTTTTTTTTTTTTTCCTGCATGCTTCTTAACAAACTAGATTTCTAGTTTTTGACATAGATCTCCACAGCACAGGTCTCATAAAGAACCCAGATATGAGAGGCAACAGAGCAAACCAGCACTTTGTGTTGCAACTTTGTCATGCATGGACTTCCATAGTGCTTTATCTCACCCTTGAAATTTCACATTCTTAAAATGTTAGACCAGATCAGGATTTGCCCAGGGAGGGATAGCCAGCCTCATTCTTAGTCATTCAGTGGGTAGTGGGGATGATCCAGTCTTCTGAACCATCCAGATTTTCTATGTTAACAGCAAGCAAAGTTTCTGTTGTCTTGGTGTGTGGATGACCAAACAAAATTTGATAAAAGCTGGAAGTACCATTTCCATTAAAGCAAATCCAGCTATTGAGTATTTTTAAAGAGATATTTGCACGCAGGAAAGTCTTCTGCTACTAACAAAACGGAGAGTATGGTGTTATTTACTTATTTTTTAACAATGATAGTTGCTGTTATTAAAAGAAAAACATATATGTCATTGTTTTTATATAATTGTTGAAAAAGTATGCAGTACTGCAAAGATGCACTGAATTGTAAGGAATGATGTTACATGTTCCCCTAAGGCTGATGGTGCTAAACTAGAACAATGATTTGGTATAATGCGAACATAGAAGATCACTATTATAATCAGTGTTCAGTAAGAAGCATAAAATCTAACAAATTGTACTGTTTAACTTTCCATTTTTATGTGTGCTTTGTTTTTCATCTTAAACTGTACCTGAATACATAACTTTAATAGGAACGTTGTGTATGTATTTTGATACAAAGAAAAGTTATTTTTACTTTGGTTAACACTGGGGAAAATATGGAAACTTTACAGTATAGTACCAAGTACTCTCAGTTTTAGCTCCACGATGAGGATATAAGGAAATTTTATAGTTCAGTAGAACTAATGTCAATTAATAGCACGTATCATATTTCTGTGCTTCAGGTGTTTGTTATCCAAGATTTGCA